GAAACACTTCAGAACTGGCATGAAGAGTTTCTCAAACAGGTTTGGTTGAATTGCTTTGTTGCTTGCTTCTTTATGCTCCAATTTTTCTGTTCATGGTAACAAACAAGACAGCAAATGATTTATAAGGTCATTGGAAATTAAAAAAAGTTTAGGGCCTATTTGGTATTCAATTTGAATCCAACTTTTTAAACTCAAAAACAGAATTTGAGTCCAAAATAAAAAAACATGTTTGGTAGCTAAAGATTTCATAGTCTTGGAGCTTCGTTTTATAGGGGAGCTGATTGCTGTGTTCTTGTGTATGATGTGAATGTGAGCAAATCATTTGAAACACTTCAGAACTGGCATGAAGAGTTTCTCAAACAGGTTTGGTTGAATTGCTTTGTTGCTTGCTTCTTTATGCTCCAATTTTTCTGTTCATGGTAACAAACAAGACAGCAAATGATTTATAAGGTCATTGGAAATTAAAAAAAGTTTAGGGCCTATTTAGTATTCAACTTAAATCCAACTTTTTAAACTCAAAAACAGAATTTGAGTCCAAAACAAAGAAAACCTGTTTGGTAGCTTTACTTTTAAAAACTCAAACTCAAGAACAACTCAAAAATACCCCAATTATTAAAGAGATATTTTGTCATATACCCATTCTTAGCACTAAAACAATAAATAAACCCTTACACCATTTAATTTCTATAAACAAACCAAAAAAAACCCCAAAAATGATAGTTGGCCCTATTGAATTTAATTTTGATTATTAAATTACTTTGATGCCCTATTGAGTGTTTTGAGCTTTTTTTATGAGGTTTTGGGTTTGGGTTTATTTTAAGAAATCAATGACAGTTTTGTAATTTAAAAGAAGTTAAAATCCTTTTTGTTATGTTGTAAATGGACTTTGGGTTTGTTTCTAAAGTCCATTTCATATAGGTTTTTTTTATTTATAATTTGGGCTCTTATATTGGGTATAATAGTGAATTTCCCATTATTAAAAACAAAACAAAAATCTATTTTTTGAGTTTTTTCTAACAACCTACCGTGCCTCTCACCTCTCTCTTCCTCTCTGCCTTTCTCTCTCCTCCCTCTCTCCACGCTTTCTCTATCTCTCCTCCCTATTCTGTATGTCTCTATCTCCTCCTTCTCTCCACGCCTCTTTCTCTCCTCCCATTCTCGTCTTTCTCTCTCTCATCTCTTCCTCTCTGCCTAAGATTTCCAAACTTACATTTTCAGCAGAATCAACATTGCAATGATAGTCGGTTTGGGTTTAAGATTTTCTTTATACCTGAGTCGACGACCAAAAGTGACTGAAGGTGGCCGGATTTTAAGGTTTTCCGACGAGAAAACCCTTGATTTCTCCGACGTCAGTTTGGGTTTTCTAGCAAGGTATAGGGCCGGATCTTTAGGGGAAACGATAGAAGAGAGGTTGGGGGAAACTTTTCCATGAAGGGACCTCGGCCAAAGGTGGCGAGAGATGGTTGAACTGAACTGAGAAAGTCCGGCATCGATTGGATAATTTTTGGATTGTTTTTCCAACTGAAAATTTGAGCTATCCTTTGGCTAATCGAGTTGAATCTTTCATGGGTTTTGTAGAGGAGGATGTGAGGAGTGTTTTTCGTGAAGGTTGTGGTAGCAACAGAGGTCGAACAACGTTGAAAATGGGTTGGAAGTGGTGGTGCCACTGCTCACACGTGAGAGAGAGAGAGAGAGAGAGAGAGTCGGGGATATAGAGAGCTAACTGAGGTTTTTAAAATTTCACTTTACAAAAATTACGGTTGTGCCACTGCTCTTCTGTAGATCATAACTTCTTCGTTCGAGTCGGAATTGAGCTTGCCACATGTCTACGAACTCGCATCAATGAGCTCCATATAATGGTTTAACTCAATTTCCCAAATTCCATTTTGAACAAAAAGTGACCAAAATACCCCTATCCTAAGGAGAACATTGTAATTTGAAAAGAAAATGTTTTCAAGAATTCAACCAAACAAGTTCTCAAATTTTTAAGATTTGAAAATAGTTTTCAAGTTGCATACCAAACAAGTTTTTGAATCTTAAAAATAGATTTGAGAACTCCTTATTTTAAAGAAAAATCAAAGTTTTTTAGTTCCCTATTTGAATAGGATACCAAACACCCCCTTAGCTTTTTATTTCTAGTAGATTAACACAGATGGTCTACAATTGATTTTGATTATGATTATTGGCATTTTCATGAATGGTTACCAGGCTGATCTGACTGACCCCGAGGCATTTCCCTTCGTATTACTTGGAAACAAAATCGATGTAGATGGTGGAAACAGCCGTGCGGTATGAATAGAATGCATAGTGAATTAATTTTTTTTTTCTTTATAGGCTTTGTTCTTGTAATACAATTTAAATTAGCACCCTAATTGTGCAGGTTTCTGAGAAGAAGGCTAGAGAGTGGTGTGCTTCAAAGGGAAACATACCCTACTTTGAGACATCTGCGAAAGAGGATTATAATGTCGACGAAGCGTTTCTATGCATTGCGAAAACAGGAATGATCAATGAACATGAACAAGAGATGTAAGTATACTTTACAGAATCACCAACATTGTGATAATGCATTGAGTTCATGATGCTGTTTTTTCCCCCAACATCTTTTATTGATTTCCCTTTCATGTTTGTCTAGCAAGTAAAGTAGAACCATATTTATATGCTGATTTACCAGTTTGCAATGTTGCAGTTACTTCCAAGGTATTTCAGAAACTGTTTCAGAAGCAGAGCAAAGAAGAAGCTGTGCATGCTAAGGATGGGATATGTATATCCCTACTAATTTAAATATGAATATGTAAATTCTTTCATATATATTTTTTTTCGTTCTTTTGAAGGTGGAAGAAAGTGTGTTATATTTTACCATTTTCATGTGTTGTACCATTCATCATATACCATTGTAAGTTGTTTACCTTTTAGCTCTTGAAAGCAAGTGATTAACATTTTCAGATACCATCATATACCATCATATACCTTATGTTAATGTAGAATGGCATAAACTATTGATTCTTCAAAATGCAGAAAAATGCACCATGATTTTTTTTAGGGTTATCGTTTTATTAGTCCCTGAACTTAGACCTGATTTGCATTTGAGTCCCTTAATTTCTAAAATCATTCCCGTGGTTCTTTAACTTCACTTTCATTAGGACAAATGGTCCTGTCGTCAATTTTGTTAACTTTTTCTGTTAAATACAGGGACAAAATGGTATTTTTATATTAAAACTAAAAAAATGAATAAAAAATCATATCTTTAAAATAACAATAAAAGAAAATCAAATTAAAAATAAAAAATAAAAAATAAAGTTTGGGGGGAGTAGAAATCGGGATAGAGGGGGGGAGAGAGAGAGTTTAATTTTATTTTTTTAGTTTTTTTAATTTTTAATTTATATTTTAATCAATTTAATACAAAAATACCATTTTGCCCATGCATTTAACAGAAAAGTTAACAAAATTGACGACAGTGTCCTAATGAAACTGAAGTTGAAGGACCACGAGAACGATTTTGGAAATTAAGGAACTCAAATACAAATCGGGTCTAAGTTCAAGGATTAATAAAACGATTAACCCATTTTTTTAATACAACAATGTTGGCCTCGCAAATCTCACGGCCTGATGTTCCGGGCCGAAGGGATATGCGTCAACACAAGTCGTCCTTCTTTTGGTGCCGTGTGGTGGTGCGCGGGCGTGCCAGCATAGTTTACCGTGCGTTTGAGGGTGAGTTGATTGTGTGAGTGAATGGGGGCTGCGCCTGTTTTGAGTCTGATTTCTAATCAGAGCGATTGTGGCCGAGAGAGGAACTGATCTCGGCCATCAGGTTCACGGCCTGAGCTACAAGGCTGTTAATGATGATGCTGATGGTGGTTTTTAGGCGGTGCTCCGGCGCGTCACTGGGTGGCAACGGTCGTATGATATATGAGATGAACGGAAGAGTAACAAAGGTGGTGCTCCGGCGCCTTGAAAATCAAGGGTCGTATGATATATTGATGAATGGATTTTCCTACAAACTGCCGCTACTCCTAAGAAAGCAAGTAAGAGTATTGAAAATGCATTACAAGAAGATAAATGACAAGAAGTAAATGACAGGAAAATATAATCTGCTCTGTGGGAGGCTTGTGTTTGGTGTTGAACCCTTCAAATGTAGTTGGAGCCTGTTATTTATAGGGAAGGTCTTAAGGAGACAATGAAGCTGAAAATCTGCATGGTGAGGTTGATCAGAGCTAGTGGGTAGTCGAATCGACATTTGAGAACGTGAAGCATGGTGGTGTGACCCCCATAAACCCCGGCCACCGCCCTAATGGTGGGCTCTATGTCTCGGGCCTTGGAGGGGCATTTAATGCCCTGGTCTGATGGTTGGTGGCTTAGCCTTACAAAATCATGGGATTTTCGCACCTAATCCCTGATTTTACTCGCCATATCTGACTTCAATCACGTCCCCTCTTTCTTGGCTCATTAAATGCTCCTACGTGGATCATGGGCTTTCTGCTGTGATCAAAGGCATTACTTCATTAAATGAAACGTGGGACCATGACGCCAAGTGGCGACGCCGCTTTTGGCTGTGTATCGGAGGAGCTTGTCCTCGGCTAGTATTACCGAGGCTGTGATGACCTTGTCGTGCCAACTTACTTTTGTTTCCAAAAGAGGACGAACAATGACTCGTAACTTTCGGCCGAGGGTAGGTGCTAGGGCCGAGAGGAAGTTCCTTCGGACGAGATTTATTTAGGCACAAACAAACAGATAGTTTAAAAGGCTATGCACGCTACCACTAATTTACAATCCAGTGCTCTTTTTCATTGTGCTAGACCTCATCGGCAAAAATGCAACATTTTTGGGAGACAAAACTCATCAACAAACGAAGAGGGAGAGAGTATTATTGTTGGCCACAGAAAACCGTTAAAAATAATACAGTATATGCAACTTCTAAAATAATTAGAAAAAAAAAACAATTAATGACAAAGAAAAAAAAGGGAGATTCTACCTTGACCGTCCGATCTCTCTACACAACACGCATGTAACACTTAACGCAGACCATCAGAGATTTGGACGGCGAGGATCTTTCTGATGAAAATGTCCCCACCTAAATGGGCTTACCTGAATCACACAAATACAAAATTTCTCATTTAATCATTTCTACGAAGAAAAAGGGAAACCAGAGAAGGTTCTCTGCGATGGCGTTCTCTGCAATTACTACGCACTGCCCCTCTCTTCTTCGTCTGCCGACGAACCTCCCTGTAACCTCTTCACCTCCTAATTCAATTTCGTTTCGATTTTCAAAGAATAATCTCAGCCGTAGAAAACCCCTTTTAATTCGATCAACTTCAACTTCGGGTATTTTATTTTCTTCTTGTTCCTCAATTTTGTTTTTATATTTTAATGAACTAATTTAAAATATTTACTTTGCCTGTTAGAACATATGTAATAGCTTACATTTTTAGCTGTTAATTGGTCTTTGCTTGTTTTTCTCCATTAATTATTATTATTCAATTAATAATTGGGATATTAAGACTCCTTTAATTATTATTTTTTAATGTTTAATTTGGTACATTTTGGGGTTTGATTTGATATGGTTTGCTTGAATTTGAATTCTGTATGTGGAAAATGTATGTGTAGGCTAGAAATGGTTATTATTTTTTTCCTGTTCAATTAAATTGAATATGTTGTACAGTACAAATAATAGCTGCTTCAATTTTGGATGTAAAATATAGTTTGCTTGTGATATCCGAATTCATGGTTCTGTGGGCTTGCTGCTGAATTTGATGGTAATATATGCAAGTTACGTGATTGTTTTTGTTTTGAAGAAAGTTATGTGACTTTCACAGGCAAGACATAGAATTATTGAAAAGAAAAAAGTTTGGTATTTGGGTAAATGCGGCGACTAGACATCATGAGGTTGGGCCAGGTTCATTTCAACAGATTTTTCAACCATAAACTTGTCATGAGATTTGTTGAGAAATGCATTCCACATAGTGACATCATGAGGTTGGGCCAGGTTCATTTCAACAGATTTTTTAACCATAAACTTGTCATGAGATTTGTTGAGAAATGCATTCCACATAGTAATTAAGTGTTTCATGAATTTCTTATTGTTTATGAGACTGACTGTGCTGATGCTAAGATGCTTCTATGTTTCAGCTGCACCGAAAACTGAGGGGCTTGCACCTGCAATTTCACTTACGGATAACGCATTGAAGCACTTCAATAAGATGAGATCTGAACGTGGTGAAGACTTATGCTTGAGAATTGGTGTCAAACAGGGTGGGTGC